CCCCCAATGAGGTGGACGCAGGCGCTGCCGGCAAAGTCGAGGGCGCCCATGCGGTAGAGCCAGCCGGTGTCGCGCCAGATCCAGCCGGCGGGCACGCAGTACACCAGCGTGTTCAGCAGCGAGAAGATGATGTAGGCGTTGAAGTTGGTGCGCTCCGTCATCGACCCCGAGACGATGGTCGTGGAGGTGGTGCAGAAGGACAGCTGAAAGATGAAGGTGGCAAACTCGTGGCCCATGTCCGCCTGACTGCTGTCCATGAACCAGTGGCCGCAGCCGTACCACCCGGTCCGGCAGCTCTCGTCGTTTCCGTACTAGGATGATGGATAAAAAAGGTAAGTTTGGGAGGTTTGTTTAGCACTAAATCGAACCTGCAGCCCGTAGCCGACGGCCCAGTAGAAGAGCCCGCCGAGGATGACGTCCACCAGGTTCTTCATCATGATGTTCACCTCGTTCTTCTTGCCGCAGGCCCCTGACTCCAGCAGGCTGAAGCCGGTCTGCATGGTGAAGATGATGAAGGAGCTAGAGAGGATCCAGGTCGAGTCGTCGTAGGAGATGGTAGACATCTTTTTGTTCAGATGTGTTTACTTCCTTCGAGCGAGAGTTGAAGTGAGCTGAGTGCGAAGTGAGCTTCCAGGTTCTTCCATTTCCTGGTTTCGCTGTTTGTTTGGCAGCAACTTGTTCTCTCTTTTTAGGCCAGGGACTATTAGTGCAGCTATTGAGGCAATCGATGACCGGTGCAGAAAAAAAGATGACCAGGTGATTAAAAATTCATGAGCACACTAATGGATCATCACCAAATTGGAACCTCAATCGATCGATGGCCTCGATTGAGAGAAAGAAGAACAGGCGATTACCACCAGCACCACGACTACCAGGAAGCCAAAACGGAATCCATTTTTTCTTTTGGCATTTGCCAAAGTAAGCAGGCAAGAGCTAAACAATCCAAAGGGAAAAATGGTCCATCATGAGCAGCAGCAACCGGAACCCGTCGATCTGGACTACCTCTCGATCAAGATCGACTACAGTGATGCCTCCTTTATCCTCAGCTTCATCTTCGTCATCTTCACCACGCAGACCGGCTTCAGTCTGCTTCAGTCGGGTNGAGCCCGTCGATCTGGACTACCTTTCGATCAAGATCGACTACAGTGACGCCTCCTTCATCCTCAGCTTCATCTTCGTCATCTTCACCACACAGACCGGTTTCAGTCTGCTGCAGTCGGGCTTCGTCCGGCGGAAGAACCAGGTGACCATTATGCTGATGACCACCTTCAACCCGATAATCACTGGTAAGTGATGTGCTAAAAACAGCGATGATGAAATCTGCGAGTTCTATTTTTTATTTCCACCCCACCCTTCAGGTCTTACCTACTGGATCCTCGCCTACGCCCTCACGGAGACCTCCTCCGCGCTGACGACGCCCAACGAGTTCATCGGCCTGGGCTCCTTCCTCGCCGACTCGATCGCCCCGGAGATGGGCCAGCTCTTCGCCAGCTACACCTTCCGCTTGTCCACCATGCTGACGGCCTCGAACGTCCTGCTGGGCGCCTGTGCCGAGCGGATCAGCTTCATCGCCTACTTCCTCTACCTGACGGCGATGGCGGTCGCCTTTGCCCTTCCCAGCTACTGGGTCAGCTCTTCGGCCGGTTTCCTCCACCGGGTGGGCGCCGTGGACATTGCCGGCTGCAGCTTCATCCACCTGGCCGGCGGGACAGCCGGGCTGGTGGCCACGGTGATGTTGAGGCCGAGGTCGGGGCGGTTCGACTATCCGCTGGAGCCATTTGAGATGTGCGATCCGACGAATGCGCTCCTGGGCACATATATGCTTTGGTGAGTAGTTTTCTGGTGTGGAGTCTTTCAGGTTAACTTGAAATTGTCCTTTGCAGGTGGGGCTGGGTGGGCTTTCACATGTCCGCCACCTTTGGCGTCTCCAACAATCGCTGGATGTACTGTACACGGTAAAACACTCTGCCAACTGTTTACAATCAGCAGAAGTTTTATCAGCTGGGCTCTATTTCCAC